CTTATTATTAAGAGGTGTTGAACAACGTCTAATCGTTTTCTGTCACAATAATGATAGTTACCATTAACAATAAAACTTCGTTATTTTAATCTCATTTTAATTTGCAGATCAAGTTTTCAGAATTTGCAGTAACTTTTCTGAATGTTTACGCAATGAAACAAAAAGAGGCAAGTTTCATATTTTTTAACTGAACTTTCTGGTTTAGAATTGATGAAGAAGACACGTTTTAAAACTTTTATTGTAAGAACTAAACAAAAGAAACTGCAAAAATTCTTTTTGGACATTATTGCACATTACGTAGAGAAAATTTAAAAAAATGTTTGAGTGTATTCCAAACAACCTGTAATATATAAATTCAAAATGGAAACGGAAATCTCTTTATAAGGGTTTATTCTAGACAATAAGCATAAAAAACGATTAAATTTTTTTTTTATTAACATTTTCTTACAACTTTGCCAAAACGCTGTTTTTTGGGGCAATTTATCCCGTATAAAAAAACAGGGGCAGAAATATGAAATTTTAAAGGTTTATTCTCTAATTTCTTAAATTAGAAATCGAATGGTCTATGGTTTTTTAAAATCGGTTTGGTAGATTTCGAGAAAAGCCGTGCACCAAAAAAGGTACCTTTTGAAAGACGCCACCTGCAGCTCCGAAATTGAACTAAATACACTCAATCATTTTTAAAAATTTTCTATTCGTAGCGTACATCAATGTCCAAAAATAAATTTGCAATTTTTTTTGTACTTTTTTTACAATAAAAGTTTTAAAACGTGTCTTTTTTGTCAATTCTAAATCAGAAAGTTCTCTTATTAATAATTGCATCTTCTTATTCACTGTTTATAATTTTTTATGCATATAGAACACACATTGGGCATGATAGATCTATGTAAAAGAATTGTTATTTATATCTGTTTTTTATGTCCCTCATGTATATTTTATTTTTCACATATAACTGATACAGAAGAAAGCACCTTAACATTGAGTTCAATTTTGAATATCTGTTAGACATATTGAAAATTTTATGCACTTAAACCTTATTGACTATAAAACCACCTTCAGAAACATACAAAAATACTACTTTTTTCAAAGATGCAGGATAGTAAAAATTTCCCTTTTATATCACTATACAAAAAAAATTAAAATTACAAAAATTAAAATGTTCTACTTATTCAAAAAAATAAGTGTATTATCCAAGGGATAAATTTATAAAAATAATATAACTTTTGAAACTGAAAATTTTCTAGATAAAATAATAAGATTTAAAAACAGGTGTGCTAGTCAACCTAAAAAACATTTAACTTTTTTATTAATGTAATTTAATGTAGTTCAATATAATTTAATGTAATTTAATTAAAATCTAATTAATGTTAAATTATTAAATAATATTTTTTATTTATATAGTGTTTTGTGGCGTACATGCTTGTCTCATCTAAATTAAATCAGTTGGTTGTAACAGAATTTTTCAAATATTTAGCTGATTCTTGTCAAAATTTAAAATTAATTGTTGGTCCACTTGCAAAAGAATTAATAATGAGTGCAAAGGAGGTGTGGAATGACGTAGAATACACAACCGCATGGTTCCATCTTCGAGAGGTGTGTAATTTTAAATATTTGTTTTTGAAATTAATTATTATTATATTATCTGATTTATTTATTCTTTTTTAATTATGACTAAATATAACTATACTGACTCTGTCCTGTGATCCTTTCAAAGTCATTCACTCCCCAAATTTTTGCCACTTATTAAAACCATTTCACACTTAACATATTTTTATTTCAACTTTATTCTTTTTATAATCAAGATGATTATTATGACACGATTACGACTTTTTTCTACACTTACACATTCTATTTTAATCATCAAACTTCTCTACACAAATTACCCGAGTCGAAGATTAGGTCCTACATAACTTCTATAATAATTTCTTTATAGAAAGTCTTTATAGACCTCATAGAATATCATATACGTGATTTTTTAAAACTATGCGTAAATCCTAGATGAATCAATATTTTAAATTGAATCAATATAACTTTTAATTTGCGACATCAATTTTTTCCAAGGCCTAGACTGACAATTTGTATAAACCTGGAACCGCGATTCATGTGGTGGTGGTTATCAATATTCTTTAACAAAATTAATCAACACGTTCACTAGGGATTTTTTCTGCACCACCCACAAAGAGTTTGTAAAGTTATGCATTTGCCCTTTCAATAAGCGATCAAAATCTTCTGAGCAAAAAAGATATCAAGGACAAATCGTAAAAAGAATAATTTCTTAAATTTGCTAATTTAAAGAAGGCCAATTGTTAGGGGCTTTATAACGATTTCTACCAATACGATTGGTCCTTTCTGAAAATTAGCAATAAAAAATTTGTTGACAGAAGAAAGTCAATTGTCAGGGGCTTTCGAGAGATTTCTACCAACACAAATGATTTTCTGAAACAACAATTAAGAATTATCCAATAAAAATTATTTAACAAATTGCACAAGCAACCAATAATCAATATTTTCAAAGTCAAGCCACGGAAAATCGATGGTCAGGGGCTTTCTAACGATTTCTACCAACACTATTAATTTTTCAAGAGTGGTATCAAAGATTGAATCGTAATTCTTGTTTAATATTCTTATATGCCATGTGCATTGCAATAGGCGATCCTCATTACAATTTGAAAAATTAAACTATAGAGATGATCCCGATAAACCCTAAATTTTGTTAGAATAGGACATAATTAATTTATTTAAATTCATTATCCAGTAGGGTTTTTCAGAGATAAATGAAAATTTTATAATTCAACAATATATTGTTTAATCATGATGAATCATTGAAGTTTAATTTTTTTTATGCCAAGAATAGAAAAAATAGAATAGAGTTAGGAAAAACTAATCTTTTAAAATTTTGTTAGGTGAAGTTTTATGGTATTTTTAAAATAATTTATTTTATATTTTTTGTAGATTTCAAATAAAAGAACGCAACCCAATATTTCAAATTTAATTTTGCAAGTGATATAATCACAAAGCCAAGGTGTGTTTGTATTTATTTTTATTTGTTTATAAATATTAAATTAACCAAAAATAAAATGTATTCTATTCAGAACTAAGAGAGATTATAAAAGAAAAATCCACAATCGTTTTTAAAAACAAAATAAGCTATATCGTCAGGTTAATTGTTTAATTTTGAATATTTAAATAAAAATATTTAATTCTTTTATTATTATTTTCTTTAGCATCAAATTCTTTGAAACGATAAAAAATCAATTGTTTAAACAAGTAAAAGAATTTTGAAAAGTTAATCACAAAAGCTAAAAAACTAAATAATTATTGGAAAGATTCCTCTAATTTAGCTTGAAAAGCGACAAATAACTTAAAAATAAAAGAGAAGAATATAAATATATATATATATAAGTATAGTATAGAAGGTGGAAACGCAAAAAAAAGATCAACACCAACGTATTTTCATTCTTAAATTTCTACCACATATTTACAATCTTATTATAATAGAAATTAAAAATATAATGTCCCTTTAAATTTTGACAATACTATTTTACAATATCACCCACATTCTATTATTTACAATGCAAAAGAAATAATATTTCTTTTGTATTGGAAATAATAGAATGTGGGTGATATTTCCCTAAACATTTATGTTTTTATTAATCAACCACATGTTTGAACTCATTTGCTTCTCACAATCGATGTATCACGTAAATTTAATTTGATAAGAATAAGAAATTATATAATATAATAGAAATCCTCGAACTGAGAGCTTATGAATGCTTTAACTGGCACACACGATTGTAATACACACGTGGCGTTACATTTTTCTATACCCTAGGCCTCAATATCTGTTACAATAATAATTATATTAAACTGCAGGTTGTAAAAGTGCGTGGGTGCTGAACAATTTGCAAAAAGACGAAAACCAAATTTTATTAACTGCTCTTTCTTTACCTCTGTTGCCACCAGAGATGATATTAAATGGCTGCCAATATCTTCAAGAGTTAGCAACAAAGAAAAAAGAAAAAAAAGAAGAATCATTTGTCGCTCAAATGTTTAAAATTTTTGCACCAATTTTAGCTGTTGCCAGTGTCACCAACTCAATTAATTTCCGGTTTAATTCAATTCCCACTACATGTAGGAAAACAGTAGAAAAATTATTTTCAAAAAATCCTGGAGAATTGTTTGGTAACTATCACTTCTTTGTTACTACATATTAAGAAAATTTTTGCCATTATTTACACTACTGATCAGAAAGAAACAAAACGTTCATGAATGATACCATTTTTTAAAAAAAAATCTTTATTATTTATAATTTAAATATAATACACATATAATATGGCGAACGTTTTTTTTAAATGTAGTTCGATTTGCTTTAAAGTTGTTACTTGGGGGTCAAAGAGTTTGCTAATGACGAATCCAAAATTAGGGGCTATTCAAGTATTACATAAATATATTTTCAAGGGTTTTGGACCCCGCTCCCCCAAATAAGCATATTGCAATGGAAAAAATAAGAATTTTGTATGGTACGTAAGCAACTAAGGAACCCCTCCCCCCCTTAGATACTTACTTAATACTTCAATGATCCCTCAGTTTATTAATTTTATTTTTTTTTAAATGATCGAATTTGCTTCAAACTTGTTACGTGGGGTTTGCTTGGTCAGCTAATTGACAAGTGTGCTTTACGCTTTCTTTTAACGGAGAAATTTACTTCATAGGGGTGTAATGAAATAAACGTACGCAATGAAATTCTATTCAGAGTTTCACATTCTTTAGAAACAAAATTTCATATTGTTTTATATTTTTATTTTTCATTTTTTATGAAAATAATTACACGTTAAAACACACTAATTTAGAAGTAATTTCAATTTTTATAAAATATTATTATTTTTTCTTTGCAATTATAATTACTTTCTTTTCAATTTTAGCTAAAATAAAAAAATTCGTTGATTCCGAAAGTGGCATAGGAAGATCTTTTAGCGTGAAAGTAGCGAAAAAATCTCAAGATGTTTGGCACAAAATCCTTAACACAACCGCTAAGTAATTTATTACATTTTTTACATTAATTTACTAAATTAAAAAATTTATAGAATATATAAATTAAATAATTAAAACTAATAATAAAGCAGGTTGTGTTTATGACATTTAGTTAATGAAAGAAGCATAATGGAAGTTGCTTTTAGCTTATATCAAAATTTTCCTATTAATTCTCGAAAGAAAGAAGTTCATTAAACTTAGTCAATAAAAATTCATTAGAATATAAAATTAGGGATAGAATTGGACGTAACAAATTATAGTGAACAAGAAAGCTTTTAGAAGGTCAAGAACATTAGTAGCATAAACTGAGTAAAGGCAGTGTTGCTAATTTAAGTAAAAGAAAATATAGTAATATCTGGTAAAACATTAAGGAAAGAAATTATAATTCTAATACTCTTCCTTAATGGAAGCCTTATATCAAACAGAAAAATATTTTACATTAAATCGAGTCATGGAACACAAAAAGAACGTCCATTTAACGGTTTTGTTGAAACATAAACAATCATACTACTCCAAGACAAGTAATAAAGTTTGATCGGCTGATTGTTTAACACTTTGCGAATTAAAAAATATTTAATGTGAATGAGTTAAAAGTTCGATTTTGGGTTAAAAGTTTCTACTGATTTATGAAACCAATAAGATGAATGAATTCTTTTTGTCTTTTGGATAAATACTGATTCAGTAAAAGACTTCCTTTCTATGATGCAGTTCGCTTAATCAGCGTTGACATATCCCTTCAGATGCTTGTCCTTCTTTTGCTAAGTGAGTTTCAGGTTAAATGGTACCTTTGAGGTACTTTATAACACGTTTTTTGTCATCGTCATTGGAGTTGATTAACAATTTGCTTTCTAGAGCCAAGAAAGTGGACGACGGCTTACTAGAATTCATTCCAAACTTCTGAAGAACATAACGGATGAATCCTGCCTAAGAAAGACTTATTTCGTCAAAGATTCGATCGATAAGTTTATCATCGATGTAAATTTTTACATGTTTGTAAACTTTTTTTCTCCTTAAAGGTCTTTTAACATGGATTCCCCTCCATGTAAAAATTCGGTTCCTTTTTCACTTTGATGATCTTCTGAAGCATTTCATCCAAGAAATTTGTCGTTTTCATTTAGAAATCAATGTCAATCTTCACATTTAAATACGCGGTGGTAACTTTAATATGAAAAATATTAAAATCTATTTTTGTATCAAGGCGACTGTTGATTTTGTACATATTAATTTCAAATTTTTTTAGATTCATTTCGAAATAGGATTTTTTACCAGATGAAATCAGGATTATTGTAAACTAATACCAGATTTTCCACAAGATTTCAAGTTATTATGAACACATGGTGGATTCAATTTTTTGATAGTATTTAATCCGAATTCTTATGTACTGTTTTACATAATACAAATTAATGCGAGCTAATTGAGGATTTATTTCATGTCAATTTAAGACTATTCCGCACTGATCTCTGATTTAACTTTTTATACAGACTGATTGCTAACTAATACGGATCATTTTCGGATTGTTCACTATTTTTCATGTGTCGTCACTTTGCTGCTTATAGTTAAAAACTTCATTCCTTTATCTGACGGAAAATATTTTATCTTCTGAGAGCTTCACGTTTCAACAAAATACTTAGCCACACATACTAATAAAGCTATTATTTTTACCATTCTATCAAGATCTTTAACGACTGCGTGTTCAGCTGTAAATAAGGCATTACCTTTTTTTCAACGATTTTTGCAGCAGAGAGGAGGTATGTCTGCAAGTCAGGAACGTAAAGCAAATCTCCTAATTTAGTTTTTTAACTTTAATTACTGCCAGAGATTGACATGGTAAAACTCTCAGAACCGTAGCAAAGGTGTGATGTGTAACTGCTATATCCATACACCATTGATTTGTATTTTCATTTTGGTCTGTCCTTCGTGCTATTTTGTCAAATATGTGATCTACTAAATAGGCATCATCCTTGATGAGGCATTTCGGTTATTTACATTTTTTATTTTTAAACAATCCACTGCTTTAGGACCATTTTTCTTTCAATAACTCCATTTATAGTTTACGCGTGAACTTGGAGATTTTTCACCCTTACAATTTATTTTACTTTTTTAAAGGTATCTAGCGTTAGTAAAATTCTATAAAAATGGGAATTGTACATGAATTACAAAAGTAAATTATATCTTTCCAGACTTACATTCAGTGAGTGCATCGTAATATTACAAAACGAGAGTAAAAAATTTACGACAATTAGTAGATGTAAGTTTCCAATAATTTCATTAATAAAACAGTACTTAGGCCAAACCATTATATTTCAATCAAAGTCTTTGCAGCTTAAATTTATAAAAACTTAATACTTCTCAAAAATTTGTATGCATAATAAAAGAAACATTTAATAAATTATTTTTGCAACGACTTTAGTAAAAATATATCTGTCTGTTATCCAAATATATAGTAATGCTCAAACATATTAACATACATTTTACATATTAATGTAAGTTATTATCATATATTTATTCTATATTTAGCTATACGTGCAGCCAAAAAAGAATATGAAATCGATGTTACAATTCTTCCGTATTTGACTGCCTGCACAGACCATACAGGTACCTATTAATAATATACATCTTAATAAATTAAATTTATTCAATATATTTTTTAAAAATATGTTTAATAATTATTATTTCTATTTCAAAATGAAATAAATTCCATCTTACTAATTAAAATACAAAAAGAATAAAAATTTCTGAATTGGGTAAAACAATGCAAAATAATGTTTTATATTACAAAAAATGAATTTAATAATTAAATTTTTTAAAAATGTTTATGTACTATTCAGTACCGTAAGGTGAAGTGTCCTAAGAGTACGCACTTAATTTTCTTTTTGGAATTACTTTTAACTAGATAAAAAAATTTACTTTTAAATTACTTTTGAAGAGAATCAACATTTATCAATAAATAAAGGAAAAAATAATTTTTAAAATTACTAGTTTTCTTATATTAACAATTTATGTATATTAAATATATTATTTTTTTATTTAGTCACATAAATAACAAATAATTGAAACCTTCCTAAGAGTACGCTGGTTATAACCTACCAATTTACTATTAATTTTTAATAAATTGTCAATTTTTGTATATCAAATAATTATTTTCTTCGTTATTAACATTAATTACAGTTAAATCGATCATCTTTTCAAAAGTACGGTGAATACTGTTAAAAAATTATTACTGCGTACTCTTTGGCAGTACAGAGAAAAATAAAAAAATAATTAAAAAAAAGTATTTAACTGTAAAAAATCAAGTTCAGAATTATTTTATTATATTAAACGGGCTTTATTTATACGTTTAATATATACTTCTTCATGTTTATAACATGAAGAAACTCATAAATCACTTAATTTCATGAATAAAAAAATTACAATGACACGCGTTTTCTAACCTTCAATATAAAAATTAAGTAATATAAAACTTCCAAAAAATGTGGTTATAAACTACGACAGAATTTAATTCACAGTACCTGATAGAACCTTTTTATACAGTAAATAGATGTTAATATTGCTAATAAACTGATATATGGTGCGATATTTGATGGTGCGTACTCTGAGGCAATGCCTACTCTTAGGGTATCTTACCCTAATCATATCTTTTGAAGAAAATTTTTAACAAAAAAAGTTTTAAAACTTAAACATTGTTCTTCAATTTTGACCAAGTTAAGCAATTTTTTCTTGTTTTACTGAACTTTTATTAAATAGCCTTTATTTATTTATACATTTTACTTTATACATTTCTTTTTAAAGAGATAATATTTTAGGAATTAATTACTAATATTAAAAGCAACAATTTACCAAAGTTATAAAACAATCTAATAATTTTTATTTTTTTTATAATCAATTTATACATTTTTCCTGATATGCATATTACAATATGTTATTAACATGAAAATTTAAGATTAGTAGTAATTGCGCAATGTTGATGAATTATGAGAATTTTATTAATTTATTAAATGAGAACTTTTTTATGTCAAAAATTAAAAAAAGTATCCGAGTATGAAGTTGAAACGCCAAAGAGGGCAACAAAAGACCAGACAGATGCTAAGAAACGTAAGGAAAATAAAAAAAGTAATGACTTGACCAAAGTCGATAAAGTTTTTGATTTGGAGGAATATGGCGATGAAGATAAGGATGAGGAAGAAAGTTCAAGCGGTAATTTAGAAAAATAATCTGACATACAGTTAATAAAAAATGTAGTCACATTTTGTTAACTCTTGATGGAAAAATCCGGGATATACGTAAATAAAATAAATAAATTACAAGCTGAATAGGAAATATTTATTGTAAAAATTGAATTATTAAAAGACACAAATATGACTCAGCAACGTGCCCGCAAAACTTCTGCAAGCATATTTTCAGACGACAGGTGTTGTAGAATAATTTGACCAGATTTCACCGTTTCTCATACGAAATAATGACGTATGTCTATATGCTTTGTTCCAACATGATAGATAGGACCTAACCTAACTAACCAACTAGTGAGTCTCTTGCTCTTCGATAAAAGATTCCAAAATTCTCAGTCCCTTTTAAGTCGCGAAGAACTCTTTTCTCGGCACTCCAATGATTTTTATTAAAACAATTAACAAATTGTCCTAACACACTAACAGTGTGGACCAAATCCGGACGTGTCACCCTGTGGTGACAAATAAAGAAGACAACCTACCAATTCAGGATATGGAGGTTTTTCTCCATCTGAGTCACTTCACGGTTCTCTTTTGACAAGTTCTGTCTGAACTTCCAGAGGAGTTGACGAGAGATTACAATCTTGCATTCCGAATCTTTAAAATATTTCGGTGATTCTTTGATTAATTATTATTTCATTTTCTTTTCGAATAAAATCCATTCCTAAACATCTGTAGAAATTTTTAATATCTTTCACTTCGAATGATGACAAAAGTTCTAATTCAAATTTAGAAATTTTTTTCACATTTTTAATCATCACGAAAAAATATCAAATGTAAACCACAATGATTAATGATTCTTTTCCGGTATTTCTCACGTACACACACAGATCAGCTTTTGCCGGTAAAATTCTCTGTTATTTGAATCATTGTGTTTCTCTTGCAGACCATCTCCTTGAATTTTTCTATATACAGACTTGCATGAGTGGTAAAAACAACTAGAATGAGGTGTTAATGGAAAAATTTGGGAAAAAGATTTATCGAGAAAATGGTAGTCGGGAAAAACAGACAGGAACGCTCGCTGTTTCCATTAACGTTTTATTACGACCTTCAGAAACGCCATTCTATTCTGCTTTTTACGGCGGTCAGTTCTTTCGAAATTTCATGGCGTTATAATAATTCATTAAAACTTTTATTTTTATATTCATTGCCGTTATCTTTCCCGTTTTAATTGTCTCTTTAAGCGTTTTTACGTTTAAATGTCCCATCTTGAAATACCATCCTCTAAGAAATTCTTTTCATGTGCTGAAATCACATAAGTAAATAAGTAAAATATTTCCACCACTGTCCACTATTTCGGCTTCATTTTTTGTCAAAAATCACACTGTGACCACTGTCAGTCACTTTCCCAACCGAAATCAGATTTGTAAGCAAATCCGGTACGTACAAAGTATTTTCAAATTTTACATACTTTTTCGTATTTCCCGCTTCTAGTGATGTTAACACATTTCTCCTTACTGTTACACTAGTCAGCGCATTATTAGCAAAATGTAATTTTCCTTGAGTTAAGTCTCGGTCAATGACAGAAAAGGATTTCATATCCTTACACATGTGACGTATTTTGCACGATGTTCAAGTTATATTTAAAGCATTTTATTTAAAAATATTTCTTTGGAGTGTCATCTTTTTCACTTTTCCAATTTCTGTTCTCACTGTTTTGACCCCTTCGATTTTCCAATTTTTTAACTATTATCGCACTTGGAACAAATTTCTTACTTGCATTTCTTCGAGCATCGAATTCCATTTCGATTTTTATTCTCAACGTTTCGAGAGATTGCAAATCAGCAAGCGAAGAAATCGCACAAAGAAAATTTTTATAACTTTTAGGCAAACTGCGCAGAAGCATTACCGCGAGTAATTAATTGTTATTTTCAATATCCAGTTCTGACAACCTATCTACAGTGTCGAAGAAGAATTTTGAATATTCCCCTACTGTTAATTCTCATATGAGATGCATGTTTATGGTTTCATATATGAGATTCTATACTAAATCTTATAAGAACGTCACATAAGAAGAATCTCTTCAGTGTCCATACAGGATTCCATATAGGATCCCATATGGAGTTGCAATTTGAAAAATAAAATTTGTGAATATCTCAAAAACGGTAAGAGATACGCAAAATCGGACAAAATTTTGAGTTCATTTTATATAAAGCAAAAATATTTTGTGTTTAAAACCTAAAATATGTTTCATATTTTTTAAAAAAAATAACTACTACATATTCCTATGTGGGATCCTATGTGAGGTCTCATATAGAATTCTATATGGACATTCATGAGATTTTTCTCATGAGTTTCCATATAGGATTCTCGTAGGTTCTCATGTATCTCATATGAGAAACCATAAGTGACCTTATACGGAAATTTAGAATAGGGTCCCGAACATCGTCTTTTTTCCTTCTTAATGATAGAACGTCCAACAGCCTTCCGGCAGGATGAAAGACTCACGTGAGTCCCTCCGAAATCGCTTTATAAAATTAACATGGATTCAGATAATCCAAAAGTAAAATATATCGTTGGAAAGGTAAAAACACAAGCTTTTAGCGCATGTAAACATAAAATTTGTAAATTAAAATCCCTAGGCTAGGGAATTCAAAGAAAAAGGATGTTTTTATAGGGTTATTTTGACGAATCCAAAAAAATATTTAAACTGAATTTTTTTAAAAATAAACTATCACATTTTATTCTTTGAAGGCTTCAGAAGAAAATGAGAGTAGTTAGACCGAAAAATATTGGTTTTTGTAGATTTTACAGTGAATTTACGAAAAACTGTTTTTTTGGCTTGTAGCAAACATGCAAAGTTTGAAGGCTTCGAAACAGGGTTTAATATTATTTTTTTTTAAAGTCTAACGCATGAATTTTTTCGTTTTTACGTCTACTTTAATAAGAAAGGGTGACAGAAAAAAATTTTGAGTTCCCTTTTTACCACCCTCAAATATATAGGACCATCCAAAAAAGCCTTGGACGCGCTTGGACGTTCTATCATTAAAGACATTAATTGATTCAATAACGCTGATTTTCTTAAAGGAACCTTGGATTTATAAATCTCTTCAAGTTTCGTCGAAATTTCTCTTGTGATGCTGCAATTTTTTATTTGCAAGATCTCACAAGAACTCATTGACAAAGTTATATCTGATTGAGCTACAAAATCTTTCTTCACCCGCATCTTTCCGCTGCTTGCTGTGTTGTATCGTCACCTTCTGTCACCTCAGGTTTTACTTTGCTTCCATCGGCATAACCTCATGAGCTATTTTTTATAAGAATCGCTCGCATTTGAATTCGCTATGTCTCCTAATTCATGTTATTTAACACTTCAAACTTTATACCGGCCGCTTTCATTTCTCGACCACGTTTTTACAAACCACGCTGACCTTAAAAGTACAGTTTTCACAAGATTTAAACTTTACACTTTTTTTAACATGCTAGTCTTTCTCTTACTTTAAGTTGTATTATAATTATTATATAAAACATTCTACGATGCACATTTAAAAACACGAACTTTATAAAATTTTCTTCAACAGATAATTATTTATTGCTATATGAGCCGGAAAGGCGTTTTTCACGCTCAGGTAAAATATTAACTTTATTTTAAAATAATTACAGACAAACAATTATGCACTCAATATTATTTCTTATTTATATTTTTAAACTATAATTTTTCAGATAATTCAGAGTTAAAAATGAGAGAGAAAATTCGGCAGAAAAAGGAGTTTCAAAATATTTCAATCCTGGTAATTTACATTTTATGTACTCTATTGTATCTAAAAACAACACCAGCCATGACTTTTTATTGAAGCTTTAGAATATACTTATATATATGATAGGTTTTCATCACTGAAAACGAATCTGACCTCACAAATTTCCCATCATGTTAACATTATGAGAAATATAAGAAAAGTAGGCGCATAAAGTCTTCATTGCAGGGTTTCGTGGCCTGCTAAGTTAACGTTTACTACTATGGTAACGGTTTCTATGGTAACTGTTACCATGACAACTATTAAAGTGTACGACGGACGGACAGACGCCAAAGCTAAACTATAAGGCTCTTAGGCCTGAGTCAAGAAACCCTAAAAACATACTTAAATATTCAAAAGAGAAAATGTCAATTTCCCTACTTAATAATTAATATTTCACGATATTGTACAATAAACAATCTTTAAAATATACTGCTAAATTAAAAACAGTTAAAAAAATTATCAAATTAACTTTATTAATGAAAATTCATTTATAGATCCGTTAAATAAAATTGCTCAACCGAATAAGCATTCTCACTCTCGCTCCCAGTCACCTAAACGTCAACGTTCACGGTCCAATCTTCAATCCTTTCTAGGTCTTCGTCAACGTTCTCCATCGTTATCCCCGACACATTCACAATCTGACCATTCTTGCACGCGCTCTCCATTAATCAGGCACTATCTAGGTATACAAACCCTTAATTAATCCATTTTAAGCATAAAGGAAATAGTGATATTAATAAGTAAAAACCTATTTTTAAATTAATGTATCTAAAAAATCTTTTTAGCGCATTTTAAAAAATATTATTTATAGTACATTATATTGATAAAACAAAACATTTCTTTTTCATTGTAAAATATTACCAATGTAACTATTCAATCCAAAAATATTTTTATATCTATCATCTAAAATTTAATACTAGTATAGATGATAATTTTTTTGGATTTGCATAATTTAGTCAAGAAGTTATTTGTTTTTGGTAAAAATCCACATTTTATTTTTAAAATTCTTATTGAATGAGCTTTCGCCCGTCAACGTCGGGTCTCATCAGATTTCAATACAATATGGATTTCCACTCTCATTTAATAATTTTAAATAAAAAAATAATAAAACAATAATTTTCCCAAAAATTCCGTCAAACCAAATTATGTTGCACGATGTTTATGTGTCGATATGTGTTGTACAGGACACGTGTTTCAACGGATACAATCCATATTGTATTTAAATCTGATGAGACCCGACGTTGACGGGCGAAAGCTCATTTAATAAGAATTTTAAAAATAAAATGTGGATTTTTACCAAAAACAAATAACATCTTGACTAAAATTTAATACTATAAACTTTGGGATTTTGTAACACTAACACTCCTTGAAAAATACTGATAAATTAAAAACTTTAATAAATAAAATTGTGAAAATAAATTTATTAATTAAATTTTTTTTTAGATTCGATAAAAGTAATAGATAATTCCAAACAAGTATCCCGCTCTCGTTCTAAGACACCTAACCGTCATCCTCCACGGTCTAATCATCAATACTCTCCTAGTCCACGTAAAAGTTCTCCATTGTTATCAACACCATCTCCAAAACCTGACCATTCTCGAATGCACTCTCCAGTAATCAGGCGCCATCCAGGTACACAACCTCTTAATTAACCCATTTTATTCACAAAGAAACAGTTCGATAATAAATTTTTGTATTTAAATTTTTTTTATTTATTTCGCATTTAATAACAATTTTACTATTTAAAAAAAGTATCGACCCAAATGTAATTTTTTGGACTAACCATTCCTTCGAAAATAAACACATTTAACAAAGTATTATTTAATATTCAATATTTTAATTGAACAAAAGAGTTAATTTTTTCCCTGCCAAATACTACTAATATAACTATTCAATAAAGAAAATTTTTTTATATATTCTTAACTTTTAATTAAATACTTTTATCTTTAGGATTTTGTAACACTAATATTTCTTGAAAAATACTGATAAATTCAAAAGTTTTATAAATAAAATTGTCAAAATGAATTTATTAATTAAACTTTTTTTTAGATTCGATAAAAGTAATTGACAAATCGAAACAACTTTCCCAACCTCGATCCAACTCACCTAAACGTCGTCGTCCACGGTCTAATCATCAATCCTCTCCAAGTCCACGTAACAATTCACCATCATTATCGATATCATCTCAAAAATCTGATCATTCTCGAATGCACTCTCCAGTAATCAGGCACAATCCAGGTACACAACCTCTTAATTAACCCATTTTATTCACAAACAAACAGTTCGATAATAAATTCTATTTATAAATTCTTGTGTTAAAAATTTTTTTATTTATATCGAATTTAATAATAATTTTACTAATTTAAAAAAGTATCGACCCAAATGTAATTTTTTGGACTAACCATTCCTTCGAAAATAAACACATTTAACAAAGTATTATTTAATATTCAATATTTTAATTGAACAAAAGAGTTAATTTTTTCCCTGCCAAATACTACTAATATAACTATTCAATAAAGAAAAATTTATTATATATTCTTAACTGTTAATTAAATACTTTTATCTTTAGGATTTTGTAACACTAATATTCCTTTAAAAAATACTGATAAATTCAAAAGTTTTATAAATAAAATTGTCAAAATAAATTTATTAATTAAACTTTTTTTTAGATTCGATAAAAGTAATTGACAAATCGAAACAACTTTCCCGACCTCGATCCAACTCACCTAAACGTCATCGTCCACGGTCAAACCTCATTCCTCTCCAAGTCCACGTAACAGTTCACCATTATTATCGATATCATCTCCAAAACCTGACCATTCCGGAATACACGCTCCATTAATCAGGCACCATGCAGGTACACAACCTCTTAATTAACCCATTTTATTCACAAACAAACAGTTCGATAATAAATTCTATTTATAAATTCTTGTGTTAAAAATTTTTTTATTTATATCGAATTTAATAATAATTTTACTAATTTAAAAAAGTATCGACCCAAATGTAATTTTTTGGACTAACCATTCCTTCGAAAATAAACACATTTAACAAAGTATTATTTAATATTCAATATTTTAATTGAACAAAAGAGTTAATTTTTTCCCTGCCAAATACTACTAATATAACTATTTAATAAAGAAAAATTTATTATATATTCTTAACTGTTAATTAAATACTTTTATCTTTAGGATTTTGTAACACTAATATTCCTTTAAAAAATACTGATAAATTCAAAAGTTTTATAAATAAAATTGTCAAAATAAATTTATTAATTAAACTTTTTTTTAGATTCGATAAAAGTAATTGACAAATCGAAACAACTTTCCCGACCTCGATCCAACTCACCTAAACGTCATCGTCCACGGTCAAACCTCATTCCTCTCCAAGTCCACGTAACAGTTCACCATTATTATCGATATCATCTTCAAAACCTGACCATTCCGGAATACACGCTCCATTTATCAGGCACCATACAGGTACACAACCTCTTAATTAACCCATTTTATTCACAAAGAAAGAGTTCGATAATAAATTCTATTTATAAATTCTTGTGATTAAATTTTTTTATTTATTTCGAATTTAATAATAATTTTACTATTTTAAAAAAGTATCCACCCAAATGTAATTTTTGGACTAACCATTCCTTCGAAAATAAACACATTTAACAAAGTATTATTTAATATTCAAATTTTAATTGAACAAAAGAGTTAATTTTTTCCCTGCCAAATACTACTAATATAACTATTCAATAAAGAAAAATTTATTATATATTCTTAACTGTTAATTAAATACTTTTATCTTTAGGATTTTGTAACACTAATATTCCTTTAAAAAATACTGATAAATTCAAAAGTTTTATAAATAAAATTGTCAAAATAAATTTATTAATTAAACTTTTTTTTAGATTCGATAAAAGTAATTGACAAATCGAAACAACTTTCCCGACCTCGATCCAACTCACCTAAACGTCATCGTCCACGGTCAAACCTCATTCCACTCCAAGTCCACGTAACAGTTCACCATTATTATCGATATCATCTCCAAAACCTGACCATTCCGGAATACACGCTCCATTAATCAGGCACCATGCAGGTACACAACCTCTTCATTAATCCATTTTATTCACAAAGAAAGAGTTCGATAATAAATTCTATTTATAAATTCTTGTGATTAAATTTTTTTATTTATTTCGAATTTAATAATAATTTTACTATTTTAAAAAAGTATCCACCCAAATGTAATTTTTTGGACTAACCATTCCTTCGAAAATAAACACATTTAACAAAGTATTATTTAATATTCAATATTTTAATTGAACAAAAGAGTTAATTTTTTCCCTGCCAAATACTACTAATATAACTATTCAATAAAGAAAAATTTATTATATATTCTTAACTGTTAATTAAATACTTTTATCTTTAGGATTTTGTAACACTAATATTCCTATAAAAAATAGTGATAAATTCAAAAGTTTTATAAATAAAATTGTCAAAATGAATTTATTAATTAAACTTTTTTTTAGATTCGATAAAAGTAATTGACAAATCGAAACAACTTTCCCAACCTCGATCCAACTCACCTAAACGTCGTCGTCCACGGTCTAATCATCAATCCTCTCCAAGTCCACGTAACAATTCACCATCATTATCGATATCATCTCAAAAATCTGATCATTCTCGAATGCACTCTCCAGTAATCAGGCACAATCCAGGTACACAACCTCTTAATTAACCCATTTTATTCACAAACAAACAGTTCGATAATAAATTCTATTTATAAATTCTTGTGTTAAAAATTTTTTTATTTATATCGAATTTAATAATAATTTTACTAATTCAAAAAAGTATCGACCCAAATGTAATTTTTTGGACTAACCATTCCTTCGAAAATAAACACATTTAACAAAGTATTATTTAATATTCAATATTTTAATTGAACAAAAGAGTTAATTTTTTCCCTGCCAAATACTACTAATATAACTATTCAATAAAGAAAAATTTATTATATATTCTTAACTGTTAATTAAATACTTTTATCTTTAGGATTTTGTAACACTAATATTCCTTTAAAAAATACTGATAAATTCAAAAGTTTTATAAATAAAATTGTCAAAATAAATTTATTAATTAAACTTTTTTTTAGATTCGATAAAAGTAATTGACAAATCGAAACAACTTTCCCGACCTCGATCCAACTCACCTAAACGTCATCGTCCACGGTCAAACCTCATTCCTCTCCAAGTCCACGTAACAGTTCACCATTATTATCGATATCATCTCCAAAACCTGACCATTCCGGAATACACGCTCCATTAATCAGGCACCATGCAGGTACACAACCTCTTCATTAACCCATTTTATTCACAAAGAAACAGTTCGATAATAAATTCTATTTATAAATTCTTGTGTTTAAATTTTTTTATTTATTTCGAATTTAATAATAATTTTACTATTTTAAAAAAGTATCGACCCAAATGTAATTTTTTGGACTAACCATTCCTTCGAAAATAAACACATTTAACGAAGTATTATTTAATATTCAATATTTTAATTGAACAAAAGTGTTAATTTTTTCCCTGCCAAATACTACTAATATAACTATTCAATAAAGAAAAATTTATTATATATTCTTAACTGTTAATGAAATACTTTTATCTTTAGGATTTTGAAACACTAATATTCCTTTAAAAAATACTGATAATTTCAAAAGTTTTATAAATAAAATTGTCAAAATAAATTTATTAATTAAACTTTTTTTTAGATTCAATAAAAGTAATTGACAAATCGAAACAACTTTCCCGACCTCGATCCAACTCACCTAAACGTCATCGTCCACGGTCTAATCCTCATTCCTCTCCAAGTCCACGTAACAGTTCACCATCATTATCGATATCATCTCCAAAACCTGACCATTCCGTAATACACGCTCCATTAATCAGGCACCATGCAGGTACACAACCTCTTAATTAACCCATTTTATTCACAAAGAAAGAGTTCGATAATAAATTCTATTTATAAATTCTTGTGATTAAATTTTTTTATTTATTTCGAATTTAATAATAATTTTACTATTTTGAAAAAGTATCGACGCAAATGTAATTTTTTGGACTAACCATTCTTGCGAAAATAAACACTTTTAACAAAGTATTATTTAATGTTCATTATTTTAATTAAACAAAATAATTTTTTCCGTGACAAATACTAGTATTATAACTCTTTAATTCAAAAAATTTTTTATTGTAAATTTACTAATTTAATCTTTGGGATTTTGTAACACTAATATTTCTTGAAAAATACTGATAAATTTAAAAGTTTTATAAATAAAATTGTTAAATTAAATTTATTAATTAATGATTTTTTTTAGATACAATGAAAGCAATTGACAAATTGAAACAACTTTCCCGACCTTGTTCCAAGTCACCTAAACATTATCGTTCTCGTTCTAATATCCGTTCCTCTCTTAGTCCACGTAAACGTTTTCCATCGTTATCGACAGTACCTGCAAGGCCTTACCATTCAGGCACCCGCTATTCAAAATTGAGACACCATCCAGGTATATAATTCCTTAATAAATCTATTTTGATCATAAAGAAAAATGTTTTTTAAAAAATCCTATTTAAAAATTTTTGTATCTAAACAGATTTTACAAAATGTTCTTTAAAGTTTTTTATTTTAATTGAACAAAACATTATTTTTCTTGCAAAATATTAACAATGTAACTCTTCAATAAAAAAAAAATTATATATATTATATACATTTTTTATTGAACATTTAGTACTTTTAACTTTGGGAGTTTGTAACACTAATATTCCTTGAAACATACTGAATTTAAAATTTTTTGAAAATTTATTAAAATAAATTTAATAATGAAAGATTTTTTTTAGATTCGACGAAAGTAATTAACAAATCAAAACAACTTTCCCGCTTTCGTTCCAAGACACCTAAACGTTCACGGTCTAAACCTCGATCCTCTCTAAGTCCATGTCAACGTTCTCCATATCTAAAGCCTCACCATTCTCGCACACGCTCTCCACTAATGGGACTTTATTCAGGTATATGACCCTTATGAAATCCATGTAAATCAGAAAGGAAACAATTTGATAAAAAAAATCCTTTTTATAAATACATGTATCTTGAAAAATCTTTTTATTTCAAATCTAATAACTTATTAACAAATCTAATAATTTAAAAAGTTATCAACGATAATGTTTTTTGGCCTAACCTTTCTTTAGATGATAAACGCATTTTACAAAATATTCACGAAAGTCCATTATTTTAATTGAACAAAACATTTTTTCATTGTAAAATATTACCAATGTAACTCTTCAATCAAAAAAAATTTTATTATATATGTTTTATTGGAAATTTAAATCTTTTAACTTAGAGATTCTGTAACACTAATATTCCTTGAAAAATACTGATAAATTCAAAAGTTTTATAAATAAAATTGTCAAAATAAATTTATTAATTAATGATTTTTTTTAGATACGATAAAAACAATTGACAAATCGAAACAACTTTCCCGACCTCGTTCCAAGTCACCTAAACGTCGTCGATCTCGGTCTGATTCTCGATCCTCTCCTGGTCCACGACAACGTTCTTCACCGTTAGTCCCACCACCTCCAAAACCTCACCATTCTCGCTCTTCATCTAATGCACAATTACATCATGGTAAATAACCTCTTAATAACAAAACTCGATTTATATAATTTAATTAAAATTGATTTTTTTATGTCGCTCTAAATCACAACAACGTAAATATTCTCGCTTTACTCCACAGAAAATTAAAAGGCATTAAAATAAGCTGCAACGCTTATTATTTTAATTCAATTTTGCTTTATTTTAATCCATTTTGGTATTAAAATAAGCAAAATTGGATTAAAATAATAAGCGTTGCAGCTTATTTTAATACCATATAATTTTCTGTGTCCTCGATCCAATTCAGGTACACAGCAATGTTCTTTTTGTGGCTCCCGATCAAATTCAAAAGATCAACAAAGTGGCGTTTCTAAAAAAATAAAAACAAAATCTGTTGGAGTTCAGACAGGTAACAGAATTTGCATTTCTTGCCTTGTTATTATAAAACATTACTTTTGCAATAATAATGCCATTAATTTTTACGTAACTTTGAATCTTATCCTTTTTTCTCAATCTCAAAAATACAAAATAGTTATTACTGCGAATTTACAATGACCGAAATTTTAAGACATCGAAAGCACTGACTTTCTAAAGCACCTAATTATCAAAACATTAAATCTTCAAAAGATCGACATTTCTATACAGAGAACTATTTTTGTTACAAAATTTGTTGTCATAACGTGAAAATCTTTCAATAATATTCAATAAAATTCTCTTTTAAGTATGGAGAGAATGAAAATCATTTTAAAAAAACATTAATAAAACACTGCAACAATTTGTTAGTATATTAGATTTATTTATTAAAAAAATGTCTCTCTATAATTTAAATTTCTTTTATTAATAATTTAATTAATTATAAAATTTAATTATAAATAACGCTAGACGACGTTCAATTAACAATTCTAATTTCATTTTTATATGAAATTTATCATTTAAGTCATACCTTAGAATAGTGGGAAAACCCCTCTACATTTGAAATTTCCCTTTATTAATTAATGGCGTAGCGACATTTTTCTTTCTATCGATTTTTTCGATATTCGATAATTTAGGGATTCAGTGTATTAAAATTTCGATGTTCGATATTTCGCACAACCAGTAGGGGAGGATGGGGCAAGGATAGTTAGGTAAGATATTTTTGGATCTAGCCGTGAAATTTAAACTGGCATCGGAAAAAGAATAGTATCGTTCGAAAGCCCGTTTATTTACCTACAATTTTGCTATACATTGTTTTCTTGTAGATTGCAATGCCTTCGAGATAATATTGGAAAAGTAAAAAAAATTTTAACTATCATTGCCCCACTAGTGGGGCAAAGATAGTTGAAAATTTGTTTTTACTAAGATAATACAAAAAATCATGAAATTTGATTTTCCATTGTTTCAAGGTATCGAATTATATTTGTCAAGACTTAACAATTAAAATTATTGTTCTAATTAAATCGAATCATGTTTAATACAACTTAGCAGTTAAGGATGATCATTTTTATCAAAAAAACATGTTTTTTGTGAATTTTTTGAAAAACAAAAAAATTATTAAATCGCGATGCATAAAAAGCAATTAGCATTTCGTTTGCAATTAAAAAATTGTGTTAGCCAGACATTACCTTGTCATAAGTATTACAACAAGGCACTAACTAGTTTTGCCCCGTGAGCGCTTTTTTCGAATTATCACAAATTTTTAGTACAAAAAAATTTTTTTTTAAAAAACGAATATGATATTCGTTTTTAGCACAAAATTTTACACCAGAAAACATTTACGCAACGAAATATATTTAATAAATTATATCCGCAAAAATAAGATTGAATAATAAAAATAAGGTGAAAATATTTTAGCAAAACTGAGATTTAACACAAATGGGCACGTAGCTTCTACAAATAGTGTCCCCGCAAGCTCAAATTTTTACTGTCGTCTTTTGGTGTTAAGACGAGTGTACATGATAAATGACCCGTTTTTTTGACGAGCTGTTTCTGTATTAGAGCCACTAACTATCCTTGCCCCACCCTCCCCTACTTAGGGGATATGGTACATTGTAAATTCGACATTTCGAATATTCTGTGTTTTAAAGATTGAAGAAATATCATAAGTTTCATACCTTTTCAAATTCATGGGCAAATCTCTCATCCTTTAACTTGACATAACCTTGTATCTTTCAATGCATTGTTGATATAATTATAGTTCGATACTGTTAAAATAATTGAAGATACTATTACTGATTTCAAAAAAATGAATATCTACAGTAGAGTGAGGTAAGATCACCACTTTTTCAATTTTCGTACTGTATCTCCGATCTCAAGCCGATAAAGACAAAAACTAAAAAAGGTTTGAAAGATAGACCTTTTAGCTACATTTTACTCTCTTGACGCAAGTTCCGGTCTCTTCATTATTTTGAGCTACAGTCATTCTACGTTACCCTTGCAAGTGGTGATTTTGCCACAAGTATTGGGACGAGATAACCACTTATCAAAATAATTAAAAATCATTATAAAACATCAAATAAATAAAAATTATCACTATTTTATAACACTACATTTGTTTTAGAAAATAAAATCTTTTATAATTAACCATTAAAACTTTTTTGCAGTTTTCAGAGATTGTCGCTTTAATTAGACAATTTGACTAAATCGAAATTGCATTTGGGCTTTCTCGCCACAAAATTATATAAAACAAAATCTTTCATAAACATTAATTGAAAAATGAATAAAGATAATATTAATATCGTGCTGGTGAACTCGTCTCAACTGTTTATATTAAGAGAAAAACAAAATAACTTTTTTATAACACCTTGCGTCAAAAACTCGACTAAATCGCTGTCTTTTACACACAATGTGCTTAAAAGGAAGGGAAATCGTACTTTTACGCACACTTTCCCCTTCCATCACAGCAATTTAGTCGAGTTTTTGACGCAAAATGTTATAAAAAATTATGTATGTGACTTGCGCCCTTGCGCCCGACTTTTGCGCCCTTGTCACATAAATAACTATCAAAACACTTAAAAAATCGCAAAATAAACCACACCATCACATTCAGAAGACTCAAATTAATACAAAATAATTACGTTAAATTATTTTTGATGAAATTTTTCCCAAAATAAAATCGCAAAAATTTAAAAAAAGAACCCCGCACCATTTACATGGGAATTTGGGGTCCGGTGAAATTTTCTGCAACTTTATAATTTTGTAGTTTTTGACCTCCTGAACAAAAAATGTAAATGGCAAAATTCAAAAAAATGGACAGATTTTTTAAAAATTGAGATTTAAGTTTAAAAAATAGTGTTACAAGCGAAAAAAAATTCAAAAATGAGTAAAACCAAAAGAAGTGAACAAACTGTCTTAAAACTCGCTACTCGAGGGTTTTCGGGGTCGCACATTACGAATTGGATGTCAATTTTTGAAAATCCAAAATGGCGGATCCAAAATGGCCGACGATTTTTTAAATACATTAAATTCCCTTAAATCTTGTTACTCGGGGGTTTTCGGGGTCGCTAATTACGAATTCGATGATAGTTTTTTCAAAATTCAAAATACCGGATGCAGACTGGCGAAAAAAGGTTTAAAAATTATTTTTTTAACGAGTTTTAAGAAAGTTTGTTTAATTAATAATTATTTAATAAGTTCTTTCAGTTTTAAGTTATTTTAATGCTATATTATACTTTATTAATTAGATTTTATAAAAGAACCGTTCTCAGGAAAAATGGCTTAAGTCGATTTTAGACATTTTGTGAAAACTTAAATTTAATTCGTTATTATCGGTATTTTCTATTCTTCTATAAAGATTTACTACCAGTCGACAAATTTTCACAGTAAAAACAAAGATTTATGTATTAATATCAATTTAAAAAGTAAACAAAAAACATTTGTTTAATAAGATGGAAAAGTTGTTCACCAGGAACTCATATTTAGTGAAAAATGTAACGTCTTTCAAAAAACTTTTGTTTATAGTCAGAAATATCTAGTTGACTATATACGTAACAAATAATTTTTTGTTACTTTCTTAGTCTTTATGTAAATTTTATAAATATAAAAAAACTTTTAATTGAAATAAAAAAGATTTTAGAAAACACTATGAACCGTTTGCTCGAAAAACGTCTTAAGTCAACTTAACTCATATTTCAAAAAACTGTTTCCATCGTAATTATCATACAATGTAGAATAATCAATAAAAATTATTAATTTACTAAACATTTTAAAGTTTTAATTCGAATTTAAAACTACACTTACTGTTGCTGCATAGTAAGCATCATTATGTAGCAGTAACGAAGTGCATCCCGATATGACATTCCGCCGGCGCGTAGATAAAAATTCAAATGAAAATTTTAAAATGATTAGTAAATCAACAATTCCAATTCATACTTTATATGATAAACAATACAATTAAAGGTGGTTCCACAACAACCTGCTTTATGTTTTGCTTTGCATTTGACTTACTGTGATAAGTCAAAAAGGTGCGCGCACAACATATTTTCCAGTTGTCCAAAATAAACAAATTATTAATAAATTAAAGACAACTTAATTACAAATTGATTGATAAATTCATACATAATAATTACAAATTATTTAAATTTAGTTAAAATAAAAAATTATATAGTAATTTATTTATTTTCGGCAACTGGAAACTGTTGCTCACACCGTTTAACACAATAAAATAATAATTTTGAATTTCATAATAGCAGTGATAGTAAAACTAGCTTGCACTTTCTACCGAATAAAAAACATCTATGAAATAAAGGTTAATAAAGTTTTGTAGATAAATTTGTTACTTTTTTTAAGCAACAAGCTTGCTGGAAACTTTCTGCAAAGTTGCCCCTTTGTCAAGTAAAATTTTAGCAAATTTATGCAACTTGCAAACTTTAATTTGCAACAAAACTGCTGTTTAAATTTAAAAATGGTTACGAGAATCTCTAATACATATAAGATACATTATCATAACTCTGAAACTATATATTATCCTTTCTTTGTATAATACTTTTAAAAAATTGACAATATTCTTAACATTAAAAATTACTTTAATGATATTTCTCTCGTATATAAACTTATAATACTTATTTTGGACCCTAATCACTTGCAAATAGCAAACTTTCCTTTATTATGGATTATCTTATTGTCATTGCCGCTCAAAACCAGCCCTACTTGTGATTAGCTGACACAATATCTAAAATTTAGGGAATCGAAAAAATAAAAATCGACCAGATTATTAAAAAATAATATTGTCGCAATTGTCGAAATACGATCTAATTATGATTTTAGTTCGGACGACAGCGGTATATCTATAGAAAAAGTCATAATAATTTCAGCTTGATATTTTCTATTTTCATGTTATTTAACAGATGTATATAATTTCACCATTTTTTTAACTGGATGTGTCAGGCAATTCCAGAAACAATAAGTGATGAAGTGCAAAACAAATTTCCTGTT